ATCTTGTTCTTAGACAATCAACATCTGCCTTGACACATTCCATGGTGATTGGTTTAACCTCCTTGGCGGTATGATTCTTTCCGATTTTTGGTGCTGAAAGCGGTACCATTTTTTTTGCATGGAAATATGTATTTTTTTTATTTTAGGCCTGTAATTCTTAGGAATAACTCACTGAAATCTGTCCGAACAAGAGTCTAGTAAACATCCCGGGTAGGATAAAATTTGAAACACGTAATCATAAATTATAATTTAATAAATAATCATAAAAAATAATAATATAATAATAATACATTTACCGTATTTGCCGGCGTATAAGACGACTTTTTGACCCTTGAAAATCTTCTCAAAAGTCGGGGGTCGTCTTATACGCCGGTACACATGTTAGGGGGGCTGCGGCATTAAGTACAGGGGTTTGCAGGGGCTGATGTCTCTTACCTGGATCCAGTCCCACGACGATCCGGTCCAGGAAGCGCGGCGTCTCCTTCAGTTCGGCCACTGGATGTTCGTGCGGGCTGCTCGGCTCCGCCTCCTCACCGGTGATTGGCCGCCAGAACTGTAGCTCAGGAAAGGCACACAGGCGGCCAATCACCGGCGAGGGGGGCGGAGCCGAGCGGCCCCCGCGAAAATTGAGTGCCGGAGCAGCAGGTAAGTGTTCTGTGTAGAGGTGCTGCTGCAACCACATATGCTGGCTGCAGCAGCACCATACGAGAACAGGGTCAGCAAGTCTCAGTGGGAGGAATAGTGCCCCATCATTGGTGTCACTGATACCAAATGATGGGGCACTATTCCTCCCACTGATACCAACGATGGGGCACTATTCCTCCCCCCCACTGACACCAACGATGGGGCACTATTCCACCCCCCACTGACACCAACGATGGGGCACTATTCCACCCCCCACTGACACCAATGATGGGGCACTATTCCTCCCACTGACATCAATGATGGGGCACTATTCCTCCCACTGACATCAATTATGGGGCACTATTCCTGCCACTGATACCAATGATGGGGCACCATTCCTGCCACTGATACCAATGATGGGGCACTATTCCTACCAGTGATACCAATGATGGGGCACTATTCCTCCCACTGATACCAATGATGGGGCACTATTCCTCCCACTGACACCAATGATGGGGCACTATTCCTCCTACTGATACCAATGATGGGGCACTATTCCCCCCACTGATACCAATGATGGGGCACTATTCCTCCCACTGACACCAATGATGGAGCACTATTCCTCCACTGATACTAATGATAGGGCACTATTCCTCCCACTGATACCAATGATGGGGCACTATTCCTGCCACTAATACCAATGATGGGGCACTATTCCTCCCACTGATACCAATGATGGGGCACTATTCCTTCCACTGATACCAATGATGGGGCACTATTCCTCCCACTGACACCAATGATGGGGCACTATTCCTCCCACTGACATCAATGATGGGGCACTATTCCTCCCACTGGTGTGCATTGGAAGAGGGGTAGTCTTATACGGCGAGTATAGCCCAAACACTACATTTTAGCAGGAAAAGTAGGGGGGTCGTCTTATACGCCCAGCCGTCTTATACGCCGGCAAATACGGTAATTCAATAATATAATCAAACCAAAAACACTGAAATTTGAAATATAGCTCCAAGTTAGCACATTGCTGAGCAAAGTTGCAAAATCGTTTTCAGTGTCTGATGACGATTTTCCCCACAAATCATTATCACTCAATTCTGCAAGTGGTTCTGATTTACTATCGCTGTTCTCTAGCTGATCTAAACCGATTTTGACGTAAAGGGACACTTTTTGGATGCCATGGACATTTCTCAGTTTCCAGGCAGAAAGAACAGACAAAATGCAGGCAGGGCACAGGACAAAGCACTCGGGACAATATGTATGTGAAATTGGTTGAGACAGCAATGTTTTACTATGTAAAATGTAAAAAAAAAAAAAAAGACATTTTTTTTAAATTTTTAAATTTCCCGCCGCCAGCGGCGCCCCGTACGTCACAGGAACAGGACACAGAAGCCGGATGCCGGCATCGGCCGGAGGAGATGGCCAGGGACGCTGCAGGGGACACATCATGGGAGCGCAGGGTAAGGTAAGTGAAGAACAAATGCCGGAGCAGTGCCGCATGGTATTCCCGAGTGTAGCTCGGGGTTACCGTTTGTGGTACTGAAATGTTACCCCGAGCTAAACTCGGGAATACCGCCAAGGAGGTTAAGGAGACCACAGCACTACCTCTGTGGATATACACTCACTGGCAACTTTATTAGGTACACCTTGCTAGTACCAAGTTGGACCCCCTTTTGCCTTCAGAACTGCCTTAATTCTTCATGGCATAAATTTAGCAAGGTGTTGAAAACATTCTTCAGAGATTTTGGTTTATATTGTCATGATAGCATCATGCAGTTGCTGCAGATTTGTTGGCTACACATCCATGATGTGAATCTTCTTTCCACCACATCCCAAAGGTGTTCTATGGGATTGAGATCTGGTGACTGTGGAGCCATTGGAGTACAGTGAACTCATCCTGTTCAAAAATCTAGTTTGAGATGATTTGATCTTTGTGACATGGTGCATTATCCTGCTGGAAGTAGCCATCAAAAGATGGGTGCACTGTAGTCATAAAGGGATGGACATGGTCAGCAACAATACACAGGTAGGCCATGGCATTTAAACAATGCTCAATTGGTACTAAGGGGCCCAAAGTGTGCCAAGAAAATATCCCCTATACCATTACACCCACCACCACCAGCCTGATCCATTGATACAGGGCAGGATGGATTCATGCATGTTGTTTACGCAAAATTCTGACCCTACCATCCGAATGTTGCAGCTGAAATCGAGACTCATCAGACCAGGCAGCATTTTTCCAATCTTTTATTGTCCAATTTTGGTGAGCCTGGATGAATTGTAGCCTCCGTTTCCTATTCTTAGCTGACAGGAGTGGCACTCGGTGTGATCTCCTACTGCTGTAGCTCATCTGCTTCAAGGGTCGATCTGTTGTGCATTCAGAGATGGCATTCTGCATACCTTGGTTGTAACGAGTGGTTATCTGAGTTACTGTTGTCTTTCTATCATCTCGAACCAGTCTGCCCATTCTCCTTAACTACACCACCTTAACACCTCAATAGGTGATGAGAAGGGTTGAAGAAAATCACCACGCAAGTTCACTGCAGTTATATGAAGAAGTAGAAAGCCAAGCTGGGGTGATTGCTTCCCGTGACACAATATGGCATACACTGCAGAGGAATGGCATGCATGTGTTGTCCACGAAGGAAGCCTCTTCTAAAGCCCATGCACAAAAAAGCTCGCCTAGAATTTGCCAGGATCCATGCTGAAAAAGAAGAAGACTACTGGGACTCTGTACTCTGGAGTGATGAGACCAAGATAAATGTTTTTGGAACTGATGGCTTCAAAAATGTATGGTGTTGTAAAGGTGAGGAGTACAAAGAAAAGTGCATTTTGCCTACAGTGAAACATGGTGGCAGTATCCTTCTGTGGGGCTGCATGAGTACTAATGGTGTCGGGGAGCTGAATTTCATTATTGGTATCATGAATTCACAGATTTACAGCTCTATATTGAAGAGAAGATGCTACCATCACTCTGTACCCTTAGTCGTCATGCACTTTTCCAACATGACAATGATCCAAAGTATATCTACTGATCTAAACCCAATCGAACACCTCTAGGAAGTTCTGAAAAGACCAGCTGAGCATCACTCTCCATCCAGCATCCAGGCTCTAAAAGGGGTTGTTCTTGAAAAATGAAAAAAAAATAGATGTTGCGATATGTCGCCAACTTGTTCATTCCATGCCTAGAAGACGTGGTGCTGTCCTTACAAATCATGGAGGTCATACAAAATACTAGATGTAGTAGTTTTTGTTGTGGAGGTGTATTCATTTTTGCATCAACTAATTTGAGTAAAACTGAAGATTTTGTAATTCAAGCTATATTATTACTTTACTTTCATGTAATGAGCTAAACAAATGTTCTATAAAACTCAGTTTTGTCAAAATTTTGGAAATTGTTTTTGTGTTCATTGAGATATTGAATGAAATCTTACTTTTCAAAAGGGGTGTACTCATTTATGCTGAGCATTTTATATATATATATATATATATATATATATATACACACACACACACACACACACTATATTGCCAAAAGAATTGGGACGCCTGCCTTTACACGCACATGAACTTTAATGGCATCCCAGTCTTAGTCTGTAGGGTTCAATATTGAGTTGGTCCACCCTTTGCAGCTTTAACAGCTTCAACTCTTCTGGGAAGGCTGTCCACAAGGTGTGTCTATGGCAGGGGTAGGCAACCTGCGGCTCTCCAGCTGTTGCAGGACTACAAGTTCCATCATGCCTCTGCAAGTCATAGCTGTAACTGTCAGTTTTGTAATGTTGCAATGCCTCATGGTAAATGTAGTTCCACAACAGCTAGAGAGCCACAGGTTGCCTACCCCTGGTTTATGGGATTGTTTGACCATTCTTCCAGAACTGTTTTTAGGAGGTCAGGCACTGGTCAGATGAGAAGGCCTGGTCTCCACTCTAATTCATTCTCATTGTTCTATTGGGTTGAGGTCAGGACTTTGTGCAGGCCAGTCAAGTTCCTCCACCCCAAACTCACTCATCCATGTCTTTATGGACCTTGCTTTGTGCACTGGTGTGCAGTCATGTTGGAACAGGAAGGGGTCATCCACAAACTGTTCCCACAAAGTTGGGAGCAAGAAATTGTTCAAAATGTCTTGGTATGCTGATGCTTTAAGAGTTCCCTTCACTGGAACCAAAGGGCCAAGCCCAATCCCTGAAAAATAAACCCCACACTATAATCCCCCATCCACCAAACTTCACGCTTGGTACAATGCAGTCAGGCAAGTACCGTTCTCCTAGCAACCGCCAAACCCAGACATGTCCATCGGACTCCAGAGAACTCATCTCCACTACTCTCCAGATTCCAGATGTAAGGCTTGGATGCAGGTGCTCGGCCATTCTATGAAGCTCTCTACGCACTGTTGTGCTAATCTGAAGGTCACATGAAGTTTGGAGGTCTTTAGCTATTGACTCTGCAGACAGTTGGCAACTTCTGTGCACTGTGTGCTTCAGCATGCGCTGACCCCGCTCTGTCATTTTACGTGGCCTACCACTTCGTGACTGAGTTGCTGTTGTTCCCAGTTGCTTCCACTTTGTTATACCACTAACAGTTGACCGAATATGGAATAATAGTGGAATATTTAGTATCAAGGAAATTTCACGGATGGACTTATTGCACAGGTGGCAACCTATCACAGTACCATGCTGGAATTCACTGAGCTCCTGAGAGCGACCCATTCTTTCAAATGTTTGTAGTCTGCATACCTAGGTGCTTGATTGATAGATAGATAGATAGATAGATAGATAGGAAAAAATAAATAAATATATATATATATATATTGGGAAAAATAATTATTTGTTCCCCTGCAGATTTTGTAAGTTTGCTCACTTATAAAGAAATGAAGGGTCTATAATTTTTATAATAGGTGTATTTTAAACGACAGAGACAGAATATCAACCAAAATCCAGAAAAAAAACACAAAATTACACAAATGTTATAAATTGAGTTGCAATTCAGTGAATAAAATAAGTATTTGATCCTCCAACCAACAGTAATTCTGGCTCCCGCAGACTGGTTGTGTGCTCATGTGGTACACAGATTAGTCGTGTCAATTTAAGAAGGTGCTCTTAACGACAGCTCATTATATGTATAAAAGACACTTGTCCACAGCATCTCTTTCTTCCATTCAAACCTCAAAACCATGGGCAAATGACCAAAGAGCTGTCAAAGGACATCAGGGACAAAATTGCACAAGGCTGGAATGGGCTACACGACCATCAGCAAGAAACTTGGTGAGGAGACAACTGTTGGAGCGATTATTCACAAATGGAAGAAATATAAAATAACCATCAACTGCCCTCGGTCTGGAGCTCCATGCAAGATTTCGCCTCATGGTGTAAGGATGATCATAAAAAAGAGAGGGATCAGCCGTAAACTACATGGGAGGAGCTTGTGAATGATTTCAAAGCAGTTGGGACCAAAGTCACCAAACAAACCATTGGTAATACATTACGCCGCCATGGATTGAAATCCTGCAGCGCCCGCAAGGTTCCCCTGCTCAAGAAGGCACATGTACAAGCCCGGCTGAAGTTTGCCAATGAACATCTAAATGATTCAGACAAGGATTGGGAAAAAAATGCTGTGGTCGGATGAGACCAAAATTGAGCTCTTTGGCATGAACTCGACTCGCTGTGTTTGGGGGAAGAAAAATGCTGACCATGACCCTAAGACCATCCCTTCAGTCAAGCACGAAGGTGGAAACATTATGCTTTGGGGCTGTTTCTCTGCTAAAGGTACACGCTGACTTTGCCACATTGAGGGGCCAGAGGATGGGGCCATGTATTGTAAAATCTTGTATGAGAACCTTCTTCCCTCCAGAACACTGACGATGTGTCAGGACCTGTGTCATTACTTGGGCCACCTGCTGGTGCAACTGTTGTTCCTGTAATTTAAAGCGGAGTTCCACCTAAAAGGGGAAGTTCTGCTTTAAAGATTGGTCCCCTGCTCCCCATTAAGGATTGGCACCTTTGGGGAGTGGGGGGGACGGGTACTCGAATTTGACAGGTACCCGCTCCCCCTTTCGCTGCGATCGCCTAGGCGATCAGTAACGGAAGTTGTCCTCCTACCCTCCTTTCTCGAAGTTTGGTGGGACACGTGAGAGGTCCCAGAAGACGACAGGCCATTCAGGAAGAGCAGCGCTACTCGCGCATGCGCAGTGGGCACCCAGCTGTGACAGCTTGTGGCTTCACACTGAAGATGCCGGCACCTAGAAAACAGGACGGCCGGTGAAATGGGCTGCGGCGGGGCAATGCGGGATCGTGGGACAGGTGAGTTGCTGTTTTTTAAGTCAGCAGCTACAGTTTTTGTAGCTGCTGACTTTTATTTTTTTACAGAGTGAGTGGAACTCCACTTTAGGTTCATAGTTGCAGTGGCCACCAGTGGGTTCCCGTGCAGGCTGCATTTTCCGAAGAAGTGCAGGGACTTCTGCCCTGTGTGTCAGGGGGCACGGGAGTCCATTCAAATGAATGGGCTCTCATTCCCACGCAAAAAGCGGCCCGCACGACCACATATATGTGAACCAGGGGTAACTGGAGTTCAGTGCTTCAGTATTTTTCCTGCAAGCCGTGTCCCTGCTTGAGCCTTGTTCCTGATCTTTGTACCTGCTCCCTGTATCCTGCTTCCCGCTCCCTGTATCCTGCTTCCCGTTCCCTTTGGGTTGTATTTTATCACATTTATTTTTATTATCACTTTACATTGTTATAGTTTATTGGTGTTGGTATCGTAAGAGTGATATTTATGTTAATAAACTTCATTTAGCCTTACTCAGCCTGCTTCCTGATTCCTTAACTGCCTCCCACCTGCCATACAAGGTAATGACGGGCGCAAAGCGGTTCTCTCGTTCTGGGAGGACTTCATATGACGTTTTCCCATTCCAACTGCGCATGCACGGCTCCGGGAGCGCGTAGCGCAGCGATCGGTGGTGCACTGTGTCCCTTGGACACAGCGGATCACCGATCAACGGAAAGAGCCGAAGATGTCAGCTCGGTCATGTGATCAGCTGTGTCCAATCACAGCTGATCACATGTAAATAGGGAAATGCCGGTTATCAGCATTTCTCTCCTCACAAGCTGTCACGCTGACAGCTTAGAGAGGAGAGCAGAGCCGGTAATCGGCATCCCTCGGAGGGGACATGTACACTGATCATCAGGGCACTGATGATCAGTGTGCCCTGATGATCAGTGTAGCCCCAGCAGTGCCACCTGTCAGTGTCCATCAGTGCCAGCTGTCAGTGCTCATCCATGCCACCTGCCAGTGCCCATCAGTGCCACATCAATGCCACATATCAGTGCCTACCAGTGCACCTCAATGCCACATATCAGTGCCCATCTGAGCTGCTTTTCAGTGGTCCTATCAGTGCCAGTCAGTGGCACTGATCAATGCCAGTCAGTGCCGCCTATCAATGCTGCCAATCAGTGTCACCTATCAGTGCCAGTCAGTGCTGCCTATCAGTGCCCGTCAGTGCTGCCTATCAGTGCCCGCCTAACAGTGCCAGTCAGTGCCACCTAACCGTGCCAATCAGTGCTGCCTATCAGTGCCACCTATCGGTGCCGCCTATCAGTGCCATATATGAGTGCTGCCTTTCAGTGCCCATCAGTGATGCCTGTCAATGCCCATCAGTGTCACCTACCAGTGCCTTCTCATCACTACCCATCAGTGCCAACTATCAGTGCGCATCAGTGCCACCTATCAGTGCCCGTCAGTGCTGCCTATCAGTGCCACCTAACAGTCTAACAGTGCCAGTCAGTGCCACCTAACCGCGCCAGTCAGTGCCGCCTATCAGTGCCAGTCAGTGCTGCCTATCAGTGCGAGTCAGTGCTGCCTATCAGTGCCACCTATCGGTGCCGCCTATCAGTGCCATATATGAGTGCTGCCTTTCAGTGCCCATCAGTGATGCCTGTCAATGCCCATCAGTGCCACCTACCAGTGCCTTCTCATCACTACCCATCAGTGCTACCTATCAGTGTCCATCAGTGCAGCCTATCAGTGCCCATCACTGCAGCCTCATTAGCGCACCTCAGTGAAGGAGAAAAACACTTATTTACAACATTTTATAACAAAAACTTTTTTTTTAATTTTCAGTGGTTTTTGGTTTAAGAAAAAATAAAAAACCCAGAGATGATTAAATACTACCAAAAGAAAGCTATATCTGTCTCAGAAAAAGAACAATTTCATATGGGTACAGTGTTGCATGACCGCGCACTTGTCATTCAAAGTGTGATAGCGCTGAAAGCTGGAAATTGGCCTGGGCAGGAAGGGGGTATAAGTGCCCTGTAGGCTAGTGGTTAAGGTACATCCCACTGATCTGATCACACTTGCTGGTTGCCTGCATACCTGACAAGATCAGTTGGGGATGGCTCTTCCAGCATGACAATGACCCAAAACATACCACCAAGACAACAAAGGAGTGGCTCAAGAACAAGCAAATTAAGGTCATGGAATGGCCTAGCCAATCTACAGAACCTTAATCCTATAGAAAATTTATAGAGGGAGCTGAAATTTTGAGTTGCCAAGGAACAGCCAAGAAACCTTAAAAAAAACTGTAGTTGCTGTCTTTTAAAATACAGTCACTTACCTGTCCCTCGGTCCAGCGGTGTCCTCACCACAGCTGGTTTCACCGGCCGTCTTCTCTCCCCCTGGTGCTGGCATCTTCATTGTGGGCACCCGGGTGTGACAGCTTGCGGTTTCACATCCGGGTACCCACTGTGCATGCGGGAATAGCGCTGCGCTTTTTGAATGGCTCTTAGTCTTCTGGGACCTGTCACGTGTCCCAGAAGACTACAGGGAGGGAGGGGAGAGGACAACTTAGGCGATCACACCAGAAGTGGGAGGGGGTACCTGTCAAATTCGGGTATCTACTCCCCAAAGGTGCCAATACTTAACGGGGAGCAGGAGACAAAGCCTTACAGTGGAACTTCCCCTTTTGGGTGGAGCTCTGCTTTAAGGATTTAGATCTGTAAAGAAGAGTGGACCAAAATCCCTCCTGAGATGTGTGCAAACCTGGTAACCAACTACAAGAAATGTCTGACCTCTGTGCTTGCCAACAAGGGTATCTCCACCAAGCACTAAGCCATGTTTTGCTCAGGGATCAAATACCTATTTCACTCTTTGAACTACAACTCAAATTATAACATTTGTATCAAGTTTTTTTTTTTTCTGGATTTTTGGTTGACATTTTGTTTCTGCCATTTAAAATAAACCTATGTTAAAACTTATAGACCCTTCATTTCTTTGTAAGTGGGCAAATTTACAAAATCTGCAGGGGAATAAATTATTATTTCCCCCAATATACCTGTATATATATATATTCCTTTTTCCTATGGAACACATAAATGAAGCAAGATGTTTTGATGACATTTCAGTGAATGATTGCCCTCTTGTGGCCATGTCATAGAACTTGTCCATTTCTGTATAACAAATATTACAAGTAGGAAGTTTACGTTTGGCTGAGCAACATTTGAGATAGCTTTCAGAAGTCACATTTCAAATATGAAAATGTAATTTACAAGAACTGTAGAATTGTTCTGTGGGGGGAGTGTAAACATATCTTGTATCTAATCATGAATAACAAAGCTAAAGAACCAATAAAAGAGTAAACATTCATAATCAGAAGCCATCTATACGTTTCTTAAAATGGTTGTAAACCCAAAAAAATCAAAATTGAAATGACCAATCTACGTCACACTGCACAGCAGCAGAAGTTTTCTGTCCCCAGTTTGGCCAGGAAGGGAGCAGCCAGTCATCTGAAATCCTCTCTGCTTTCCTATAGGGAAAAAACCCGACACATGAAAACAAATTGTGTCGCCACACCCCCTTTCCTGTGACTGACAGACTAATTAGGAGTCTCATGCATGAACATGAGAGAAGGGGGTGTCCCGCAGCCATCCACACAGATCGCTCCCAAAATAGCTGGGCACTTTTACTGTGTAACTAGCGGGCACTACTTGTAAATAGGGCCCTACAGTAAAAGTGTCCAGCCCTTGAGGGGTTAATTGTGATCCTCCTGTTTGGCTCTCTTCCCGGCAGCTGTGGGGTTAAATCTGTGTGAGGCTATTTGGCTCCCCTTCATTGATAATGATGACCTGTGAAAGCATGTATCCCCCTCGTCCTCCTCTGTTAGTAGAGAAAAGCACATAGTCCCCGCTGAATAATTCCCGATGGTTGCTCTGCTCCCTCCAGCCTATGAAAGTCTGCAGTCTCCTGTGCCTAAAGAGCTGCCCAGTGCTTATGGGGTTAACTGCTTTCAAAATCTCGGCTGCTTCGGGAGCGATCTGTGTGGATGGCTGTGGGACACATGCCCCCTTCTCTCATGTTCATGCATGAGACTAATTAATCTGTCAGTCACAGGAAAGGGGGTGTGGTGACACCATTTTTTTCATGTGTTGGGTTTTTTCACTGTGGGAAAGCAGAGACGATTTCAGATGACTGGCTGCTCCTTTCCTAGCCAGGCTGGGGACAGATGACATCTGCTGCTGTGATGTCTTAAGTAGACCAGTCATTTCAATTTTTTTTTTTTGGGTTTATAACCATCTTAATCCTAGGTTCACACCTAAGCGTTTTCTGCAACACTTTGCATTTTGCAGAAACACACTACAGTCCATTTAACATGATTTCCTATGGGACAGGTTCACATCTCTGCGTTTTCACCTGGTGCATTTTTTGGAAAGGGTCAGGGACTTTTATAAATGCAAAAAGTAGCATTTTTGGTTCTATAGACTTCAATGGAAATGCTACAGAAAAGCATGTAGTGTGTTTTTGCTGCATTTTGCGTTTTAAATCTGCCTAGCAACAAGAAAAAAAAAACCTAAAACACACGAAAAAAAGAAAAAACACATGTACAAAAATACACTGCAGAAACGGATCAAACACAAACTGCATAGGTGTGAATCTAGCCTAAATCAGGATGAAAAGGCTCCTGTGCACATGATGACTGATGGACAAATGCACCCCCTCTATTCACAGCTGTCTGATCACACTACATTTGGTAAACCATCAAACAACACTACTATTTCTTTCAAACTTCAATATTTGTTGTCTGGTGTTTCAACATCTTGCAGACCTGAAAAATGTCCAATCCTAATTAATACATTAGTCATTAACCACTTCTCTACTGGTCACTTTCACTCCCTTCCTGCCCAGGCCAATTTTCAGCTTTCAGCGCTGTCGCACTTTGAATGACAATTGCACGGCCATGCAACACTGTACCCAAACAAAATTTTATAATTTTTTTTTTAGATATATAGAATTTATTTTTGGTGGAATTTATCACCACTGGATTTTTTATTAAGTGGGCGGGACCAGAGCAGCTGTCAAATGGCAGCAAATTATTGGGCTGCTTAAGAAAGGGGGTGGAGCCCCAGAAATGTAATAGCCTGCTAAGTCCCCATCCATTGGCTGGCGTTTGACAGCTGCTCCGGCCCCACCCCCGACACCACTGCTCAATTTTGACAGCTGGCTTTCTCCCTGCAAGCAGTTAAGCTACCAACCAGTTTTGCACACTGCTCTAAAATGTTTTACTATTAATAAATAGATACCTAGCTGCATTATGTGTGTCTTCTATATACTGTATGCCTGGAGTTTGGCTTTAAAGGTACATGTTAAAATAATTGTGAGCATTAATACTTGTTCTTTCCTAGGATAACAACACTCACTTACCTTAATGTGAGAGACAAGTGTTGTCACCCTAGGTCATAAACTGTGTTAAAACTACAAAACACCTCCCAATCTCCTCATCTCCATTTAAAAGGCTTGATATATCCTGCAGTTCAGAGAAGAAAACTGGACAGGGATGATATCACTGCTAGAGATACAATTGTAGACTGGATTTCTGGAAGGATCAAAGGTACAAGTACAGTACAACAAAAATTATTTCAGTTGTAAATTTAACATAAGGGGGCAATAGAAGAAGTTTAATGGATAGATGGATAATTAGATGGATGGCTGGATGGATAGATAGATAGATAGATAGATAGATAGATAGATAGATAGATAGATAGATAGATAGATAGATAGATAGAGAGATAGATAGATAGATAGATAGATAGATAGATAGATAGATAGATAGATAGATAGATACTTTGCATATTTCAAAAGCAAATGGTGAATAAAATATACAACTCAGTTTAGCTTAGCTTTTAATACATCCCCCTGAATATATTATCATTCACTGCAAGAATCAGTAGGTTCTTTGGCTGGGATTCGCAGCATGTCTAAACGCCTGTGTGAATGGAGCTTCAAATGTGCTGAGGTTTTACCAGAGGTGTAAATCATTTCTTTCTGAATGACCAGATAAGTGCAAAATTAGGTGGCAGAAAAACGTGGACCTTGCAGAATTCTGTGGTAAAAAAACACCAGGTTAGCAACAATTAGGAGAGTTTACAAA